GCAGGGACTTGCCATGTCTGGAAATAACCAGACACCAGAGGCCTTTCCTGCAGGGTGCCATTGCATACATGCATTGAGTGAGACTTGGGCGGTGCTTTGCCTTGTACAGACCGCCCATTGGGCCACAGCGTCTCACGTCCGCACTCTGTCACATATCAGAAAGGGAATCTGGATTTCCCATGTGGCGGCCTCGACCACTCAATAAACGCACCCCCGGGCCGCCAGCCATGGACCGGCCTCTAAAATAAAGCCAATCGACGGAGCCGACGATCGAAGGGCAACCTTGGCCAACGGCAGGCCCTGTATACATAATAGCCGGTGAGGGTTCTCGAGCGGGGGGAAAATTGAACGCTCTCCACTCTCTTCTCGAGCTGAAATACAAAACTCCCAGGGTTAAGGCGAAGCAAGGGGACTGCCGTGATTCTCGGGGGGGTTGTACAAATTGCGAATAGACGCATCGGGACGCCAAACCCGCGTTGCACCGACCGCGGCATGGCTATCTGGGCGTCTGCTCGCTACCACCCGTTTGCCGTGTCTTGCGTCGGGAGATGGGCAATGTCGCTGCATCAAGCAGCTTTGAGGCTCTTGCCGGCGATAATGCAACTCTGGTCAAGGGATACGGCGAGGCGGTGCTGAGCAGCATGGCATGCCGCTGGCGTTTCCAGTCAATGCCTCATCGATTTCTGACCCCCCAACTCAGTTCCTTGGACTCCCCAGTGATGCCTTTGACACGAGGGTCCGTCGTTGGTGGTTGGCTCGTCGCTTGCATGAATGCCAAACAGACCTCTTCCCCAGAATTCATGCTCATGCGTGGGGGGAAAGTTCGACAATGCCGATTTACGTCCGAATTCTGAGCCCACGCCGTTTCGATGACGACTGCCGTCGTGTGTGTGGGTGCCAAGTCATCAATTCCTGTCGACGTGTTCGCACTTGCCGCCCGGCCAAGGAAAAAATGACGTGCCGAGGTTATCCAGTTTCGTTTTCTGACGTGCATCAGCAACAATGCCCATGCCCATGCCCATGCCAGCGTGTACATACTGACCGGTGCTGGCTATATTTAGCCGGCATTCTGGCGATTGCTTCACATGCCCCTCCCTGCGACTGCGTGTCTCGATCGTCGCGGTAGGATCGGCGGTGAAAGAAACTTGACTGCCTCGCACCTTGAAACAAACGTTGGCCCCGAGACAATGCATGACTTGGATAGACTGGGCTGTGGCAAGTGTGGTCGGCACTGGTTGGATCGCCGAGCGAATGACCACCAGGGAAAGAGCCTTTTACGTCCCCCAACATGCCGACTCAACTCCGTCGCTCATATTGGCGTCTCTTTGTCGTTTCGGGCGGACGAGCGCCGGGCGGGACTTGATTTGGGCGCCGGCGGATCCACTTCATGATGCCGGGCTGCTCCCGCCGAAAGCGGACGTCGCCGGTTATTCAGACCTCCATGTTCCGAGTCGGTGATGGACTCGTGATGCACCGTGCAAACTGGCAAGCAGACGCGCAAGACGCGCCGTTCTATAGTTGACAATGGAGCTCATGAAAATTGGCTATTCTGCGGCGTCAAGTATGTACAAGTGTAGATAGGCATGCAGCGTGTCTGTCAAAGCGACCATCTCCCATCTTTCCGTCTCTGCAAACAGGGCATCATCAAACGTAGACTCCCCATCTCTCGACAACGCCAGTCCTAAAACTCCTACTCCTCCTCAGCGTCGTCATCCACATCCCCCGGCTGCTTGACCTCGTCCTTCTCCGCGTCCCTAACGGCCTCCCAAAACTTGCGGCCGTTGTCCTCGTCGCCGGCAAACAAGTGGTCGACCACCATGCGCCGCGGCGTCTCGCCCATCCACTGGAACAGGGAAAAGTCTCTAAACTTGTCGGCGCGAAAGACCTCGAGCATCTCGACGGGCTCGTCGCCAATGTTCTCGACAAAGTGGCCCATGTTCTTGGGCACGATGCCCACGTCGCCGGGGACGTAGTCAAAGGTGCGCGCGTTGCCCTCGGCCGCGAAGACGGTCACGCGCGCGCGGCCGCGGATGAAGAAGGACCACTCGTCGGCCGTCGGGTGCCAGTGCATCTCGCGCAGCGCCCCGGGCTCGATGATGACGTGCGCCGCCGCCACCGTCTGCGCGATGGGGAAGTTGGTCGAGTCGGTGATGCGGACGAGCCCGCCCGACGTCTGCTTGGGCTCCTGGTCCAGCATCCGGTGCGTGAACTGGTACTGCGACTTCTTGACGTGCTTGCCCGACGGGCGCTCCTGGTCAATGGCGCCGGGCTGCGAGCCCTGGAAGATGTACTTTTCGCCGGCGGGGAGGTGGGCAAACACTTGGGGGTCGAGCCTGAAGTTTTTGGCGATGACGGACTTGGGCGTGTGTGCTGGATGGAGGGCTTGTGTTAGTCGACTTGGCTGTTTTTTTTTTTTTTTTTTTTTGGTTCTACGTCAAGAGTCGAGAGAGAGAGAGAGCTCAACAAGGCCCTGTACGGTCTGAAGCAATCACCAAGAATCTGGCACGAAACCCTCACAAAGTTCCTACTGGGCCTAGGCTTTACGCAGTCCACCCAGGACATAGCGTGTTTCTCAAGGCCCAGTAGGAACTTCGTGAGGGTTTCGTGCCAAATTCTTGGTGATTGCTGCAGACCGTACAGGGCCTTGTTGAGCTTCCAGACCGTTCGGGGCATAGTAGATAGGCGGGCTTACCTAGCCAGTCGGTCAGGATAAAGGTAGATTCCTCAGAGAAGCGGCCGTCGTCAAAGATGAGCAGAAACTCGGTGCCGTTTTCGCCCAGGCCCTGCAGAGAATGAGGCACGCCGCTGGGAAAGTACCACAGGTCGCCCTTCTTCAGGTCGTCCATGAAGTTGCCGCCCTCGTAGTCCAGGGCCGTGACGCGGACCTCGCCCTCGAGCACGTACGCCCACTCGGCTTCCTTGTGCCAGTGCAGCTCGCGGATGACGCCGGTGTCCAGGCGCATGTTGACGCCGGCAAGCTCGATGCTGGTGGGAAGCTCACGAACCGTAGTTTGCCTTGTCCATCCGCCCTCCTACCGCCCACACCGGATTAGTTAGTACAAGAGAAGGAGGGTGATGATGATGACGGGATAAATTGCAACGCACCTCAATCCGCACATGGGAATCCGTGTAGCTCCATCGCATGTTCGGAATGTTGCCATGGTCTGTACTTGGCGGCCGGATCATGTCGGGGCTCTGGCGCGACCGGTCGCGGTTGTATGGGCCGAGGACGGTAGCGCCGTCGCCGTTGCGCCACGGCCGGGGATCGAGGCCTTTGCCAATGGCGTCAATGGCATGGTCGTGAGGATCGCTGTGGTCCGGAGTGTAAGGATTGTCTTTGGCGTATTTGCCCGTCAGCGAGAGGCCCTTGGCGAGCCGCTGCTGGGGGCTGTCGTAGTGAGGCAGGGCGCCGCAGAGCTCAACGGCTCCCGCGAGCAGCAAATGAGCCGAGGTGAGCTTCATCTTGGGCTAGAGTGGACAGCAATGGTGCGGACTGGGTGTGTGGTGGTGGTGGTGGTGGTGGTAACGGCGTGTTGATGTACACCCGCTTGTGGTATTACAAGATGTCTGATCGGGACTCGGGAGCTTGTCAAGCTGTCAATACAAACCACACAAACGCAGTCGGTGGAAACAATCCATGAGAGATGGGGAAAACAGCACGGTTGCGCAACAGGAGAAAAGCGCCTTATAAAAGCGCCACCCAAGCTACCAGAGCTACGCAGGATGGCGACATGCGAAGCTCCAGACGTGTCTCGGTCCAGTCCTAGCCATTCCCATGCCATGCTGCCTTGCCATGCCATCCCTTGACCCATGACGTTTTCCCACGGATGGCTTGTTTTACGCGGTTTAGCCAAAGCGGGCAAATGGCGGCCCCAACCGATTTGCTTCAAATGGACCTTGAACCTTGGAATGCCCTCCCCCCCATGCTTTGTAGGGGCCGCGAAGCAGGAGGCTTGCTGGCCACGACCGGGGTCGCAGGCAAAGCTTCAAGCTGTGACGCCGGTGCCGCCTGGGGATTGTTTTGCAGGCCGACGGTGCCGCGGCGTCTACTTTTCCGCGCCGGGCGCATCCCTCGACTGCAGGAACAGCTGCGGCCAAATACGACCTGGTGGGAACCTGAAGGAAAGACATCAATCATGTTTGACGCAGCCAAGAACTGAACTGAGCTGCGTACCAGCGGCGCGGTGAGCCGGGCCCAGCATGCATGGGGTCCAGATGTCGGTTAAGGCGGCTGTTGATGCCACCATGGACGTAGCATGACACGGCTGGGCTTGAGTCAAAGGGCAATCAATCAGCTTTGGTTTTGGTTTTCAGCGGACGGCAAGACTGCACGAGGTGCTTTCGTGCCTGGTCCTCCGAAAAAAAACCAGGCAGCCTCATGATGCAAAGGGCGTGCCGCGACCGAGGGCCAGCTTCACGTTGCGCTCCCTGGATCCCTGATGTCGCAATCCACGCTTGGGCAGACGTGGGAAGAATCATCAGCAAGCTATGTATCAATGCCAATTGTACCGAGGGCGTGGGAACCAGAGCTGTCGACTGCAAATGCTGGAGCCGAGGACCGGAGCTCCCCGATCCGATCGAGTGGTCCATGATCCATCCACCCAGGGCAGGTGCCAGTCCCACCGCCTCCTCCTGCTCTTGCTCCATCTCGGCCCTCCACTTGCTTGCTCCCGAGTCCCATGCACGTATGTACATAGACTCGGGTGCCTATTTAGTATGAGCACCAGACGTGAGCAAAGTCAATTGCCGTTGCTGCCCTGGCATTCAACCTCCGCTGCTCGTTGGGGGGTGTTTTGTCGACCGTGTTGACGCCGGCAGGCACATGAAGCCAACGCGGCAGTGAAACAAACCGTCTAGGACAAAAGCCTCCTGAGTCCTCGTATTATCAATTGATGCCACGCCGCGCACATCACTCAAGCCCCGAGGTAAACAGCATCACGACACCGAGCACCTCCCATCCGTCTGTAGTGTCTCGACTCTCCAGCACCCAAGCTCCCATCATGAACGGCAACGCCAACGGCAACGGCGTCATCGCCGACGAAGAACAGCCCCTTCTCGGCCGCAAGCCAACGCCGCCTTCTCTCTTGTCAAAATGCCGCAAGCAAATGACGGCCGAGGTGTCCCGTTCCTGGGCCGACCTGGTCCTGTTGCTGTGCTACGTCGTGACGGGCTTGCTGGATAGTGCGTCGACGCAGGTCTGGGGTGCCTTTGTTTCCATGCAGACCGGTACGTGTATGCCCTCTTATAATCCGCATCCACGAGCCGACATGGCTTCATTTATACATACACAGAGCAGCCAAAGGAGAAGACTGACAACCGTAGGCAACACCGTCTTTGTCGGGTTGGGCATCGCGACCATCTTCAACCCCCCGGTATCCGCACGCCTGTACAAGTCGGGCGTTTCCCTGCTCTCCTTCTGTGTCGGGTCCTTCTTCTTCGCGCGCTTCCACCGCTACTTCTCCCCCAAGAGGCGGTGGGTGCTCTGCGCGTCGTTTGCCGCGCAGGCGCTGCTCATCGTCGCGGCTGCCGTCGTCGTGACCGTCTGGCCGGCGCCCGGGGACGAGCGCGCCGTCGGCTGGACCATCCTGGTGCCGCTCGCGCTGGTCGCCTTTCAGTCTTGCGGGCAGGCCGTGACGAGCCGCGCGCTCAAGTACAATGCCCTGACGAGCGTGGTGCTGACGAGCATCTACTGCGACTTGTTCTCCGACCAGGACCTGTTCAAGGTCCGCAACGTGGAGAGGAATCGGAGGGCCGCTGCCCCAGCTCTGCTGCTGGTTGGCGCCGTGGCCGGGGGGTTGTTTTCGCATAGTTCGTTTGGCATTCAGGGTGCGCTGTGGGCGGCCGCGGGTATCAAGTCTATCATGGTGGTCTTGTGGTTCTTCTGGCCGACTGAGGATGAGGAGAGTTGAGGGGCGTTTTGTTGGCGTCACACAGTCTGTGGCAAGATGGATTTCCAAAGCTCGGCAAGCGACTGGATATCATGGCGTGCTGTCTCAAAGCGGGTGTCTTTTGAGGTTGCGTGGGCGTCGTTCTGCCTGTGGCAGATTCGCTGGACCGCCTTGGGCATTTCATCTATTTACTGAATCACTATGCTTGGCGCTCTGCAGGTAGAATTGTCTCGGGAGACTTGGGGGCCATCTTGTGGTGTATGAGATAACTATCCTGTAATGTATATTTAAACGCTATAGAATACTTGGCTGTGAGTAATGATCAATCTTTACGACATACAGGCAATTTCATCGTTCTGCACTATTTGCAGCACTGAATCGTCTTTCGTCCCCTCTCCCGAATGCAGAGCATGTTTGCCGCCCCTCATGGACTAATAGTCTAAATACCAAAAACAGACTTTTGAGGAGTGGCGGTGGTTTTGAAGACATTCGCACCATTTTTGCCGCGCTCGTTGACCGAAGGGGTTGAAAAAACGTTAAAAATGGATGTTTGAGAAGTACCTCTAGCTTTGAAAATGTCCGTAGTCTTGTTGTTGCCCTCGTTGACGGCAGGGTCTGAAAAAACGTCAAAAACGGATGTTTGAGGAGTACCTCTGGTTTTGAAAATATCTGCAGCATTGTTATTGCCCTTGTTGACTGCAGGAGTTGAAAAAACATCAAAAATGGACGTTTGAGGAGTCCCCGTGGCCTTGAAGATATCCGTAGCAGGTTTACCGCCATTATTGCCTTGAACGGCGGGAGCACCGAAACCCGAAAACTTGCAAGGACCTGCGGCGTCGAAGATACCCGGAGCAGATTTACCGCCCTCGTTGACTCTGACGCTCAAAACGCCAAAACCCGGAGTCTGACAAGTCTCTGCGGCTCCAAAGCCGCCAAAGCCGCCAAACTTGCCACCCATACCTGCTGAAGTGCCCGTGTTGCCTGACACCGTAGTCCCGGAAGCATCCTCGCCTTCCTTCTCCCTCGCCAACCGTCTCTTCTCACCTTGTTCGATGATGAACGACAAAGCTCCGTCAAGGTCTTTGAAGCCCCCGCGCCGGGCCTTTCGCTTCTTCCTCATGCGGCGGCAGTTCCTGGCAATGTGGCCTGGTTTGTAGCACTGATGAAAAATCACCAGCCGTTAGCTAAATGAAATGTGGTCGAAATGTACGCACTCTGCCGACTTACCCTGGTGCACAGCGTGTCCAAATAGCTACTCGCAGCCAAAGCGGCACCGGCCAACGCCCGCGCTCGAGGCTTGGCGAGTGTCATCTGAAGGGGAATCAGGAACTGTCGTGGTCGTTGCAGCGTCGAGTTCAGGGGCAGAACCTACCCTTTTAGACTTTGTTCGTTGTGGGTGGTGGTATGGAAATTTTAAAAGATGAGAATCAAGGAGCGTACACTGACTACCTAGAGCGATGGGAAGGAATCAGAAAGAATACAAAAGCGTAATGAATGTTGGGACGGGACGAGGATGCCCAACACATGACCTCGTGACACCTGACACGTCTTCGCAGCTGGTTGCAGCTGGCCGCAGTGTCTGTCCGATATCGTGAGCACCAACATCAACGGTCCGATCGTCGGCGGTTGGGTCCTGGTTCCATGCGGGAGGGGAGCGATGCCACGAGCCGTTCGGTTTGCGTCTTGCTCAGGAAGGGCGGCATGCATCCTGTGAAAGGGCTGATTAGACCGTCGACATTCGTCTGTCAAGTCTTCCGCAGCAGCGTCTTCTTCCACCACCTCTCCTCCTGCAAAAGCGACAGCTTTGCACTGGACGGCTTCGAAAACATGTGCCCCTCGTGTTCGACTTCAAAGATTTCCACATCGCGGTGCAGCTTCTTGAGGGCTTCGGCAATGATTCTGGCCTGTTGAACAGGCACCACGGTGTCGGCTTGGCCGTGTAACAAGAGAAGGGGAGCTGTCAAGCCGTCAGTGTGGTACATGGCGCTGCGCTCGCGGAAGATCCTGCGCTTCTCCTCCTCATCTACACCGGGATGCAGGACCAATGCCGCCGTATAGTCCGATTCGAGCTTGTGAGTCGCGGCGTCAAAACTCGACAGATCTGAAATACCGCTGACACAGACGCCGCCGGCAAATCTTCCTGGGTATCGTGACAGCGACTGCAGTGTGTTGTAGCCTCCTGCGCTTGAACCGGTGATGCCTATCGCACCGCTGTCGACGCGCCCAGAGGCAGCGATATAGTCGGCAAATTCAACCACATCTGCCGCGTCCACAATGCCCCAGTTGCCGAATAGGGACTCGCGATACTGCCGGCCATACCCCATGGATCCGGTGTAGTTGAGCGCCAGAAAGGCATATCCGCGAGACGTGAAGTATTGCGTTCGAAGGTTCAGCCCGCTGCCCATACGTCCTGTCGGGCCGCCATGAGTGTGAATGATCAGCGGCGGGAGTTCTCCCGCGGGCGCTGTGTAATGCGGATTCCGGGGCATCCACAAGAAGCCAAAGATGTCCCTAGACGGCGGTCCGTTGGAACGCACACGGAGAGCTTCCGGCCGGGCATAGGTTGCCTCTGGAATTTCTTCATCAAAGGCCCTCCGAAGGACTTTGCTGTTTTGGGGATTTGCCACGTCGACTTTGTACACGGATTTGTGTGAGGCAGTTCCGCTGCCAATGGCCAAGACGGAATCATGGCTAAGTCTGGCAACTGCATCGCCCGAGATATCGGACAGCTCGTTCTCATCCGCCAGCGGTTTCCAGGAACCCGTTGTCATGTCGATGGCAATGAGACGACTTGTGCCGTTGATATACGCTGTGGCGACCAAGAGATCCGCTGTAAGTGGAACAAATGTTCGGCTGGTTGGTTCCCATGTCAGTTTCCAGGGGCTCGCGAGCTGGGGGGCGCACAAAGCTTCTCACCTCCCTTCCATCAACCCTGCTTGGGCAAACTCGGCATCATCCAAACCCGCAAGTTGAATCAGCTCTTCAGGCCTGCCACCAGGCGGGATGCGGTACAACTTGCGATGCGATCCCGTCTCTTTGCCGTAGAAGAGAGAGCCATCGGGCCCCCACCGAGGCTCAGCAACGCTTTCGTGGTTCTGGCCAGCGATGAGACGAGCGTTTTGAATGGACCCTTGGGCCGTCCAGTCGCCGACATACAGCTTTCCTGCGGCGAAGGGGAGATTGGGGTGATCCCATTCCACCCAGCTTACGCGTGCGCCGTCGGGGCTGAACTGGGGCAGGTAATAGAAGTCGGCGCCGCTCACAACCCTCTGAACAGCAGAGGTCTCAACATTGATGGCGACAATGTAGTTTTGGACCTTGTATGGGTCTGTAAATGTGTGGTCCTCTTCAATGGCTAGCACCCAGGGCGACGGATGGCGAGCACAAAAGCTAGAGTACCGCAAGGTGTCGCTCTGCACCACCAATTGGACCAGGCCGGTATCGGGTGAAAGCAAACGAACTGTGTCGTCTTCATGGGAGAAAATGAGGCGATCGTCGGGAAGAACATCATACAAAGAGCCGCCGTACTCGTACACTCGGTTCTGCACAGTATATTCACGAGGTAAGACATCTCTCAGGCCATCTTCCGTAACCGCAACGATGGTCTGCCTGCCTTCTGGGGTGCTTTCGACAAAGAAAGACCGGCCAGATTGCCTCTAATTGTGAAATGGGTTAGTGTTGGGACGGCATATAGGACAGGGGCGGCGTGAAAGGGGAGCGTTTACATTGACCCGCGGAGATGTCAATGCTCTATTCTTGTAAATGGTGGCTTCGACGCCAATGGGCGACACCCATGTTCCGTAATGTGCGACTTGCTTCAGGGTCATGATGAGGAGGTTCAAGCGATGGTGAGCAAGATGGAAACTCGACGCATGCCGATGGATGGCCTGGCGGCTTAGACGGAACATTATATCAACTCCCACATCGTCAGCCATCTCAACCAGCCCCGCACTTCTTGGGTTGTATCCCGGTTGCGGAAATCTGGATCTCCTGAAGCAGACTGCGACCCTTGGCCAACCAATGCTCTAGAATGCCGGAAAAGTACATACATTTCTTGCCTTTTGACTCGGCCAAGATCATCATTCTGGCGCGCAAAGAGTCAATAATCGAAGACTCCATCCAAATTAGGAAGGCACGCGATGCCGCAGCACGGCAAACACGGGTACCGGATCCAATCTCCTCCAGTCTCCACTTTTGCCGGCGACTCACAGAGTTTCGGCTTCCCACCAGGCGCCACGCCTCGTTCCCTTTGCTTTGTTACGCGGTGATGCTAAGCCCAGTTGGGGCCATCTCGACCCTTGCCCATGGCGTTCCATCGCCTCTGATGGCGCATATGTGTGCGTAATCTCGTCAGGCTCGTTGGAGAGCTCCGGGACCAACTCGTCTCGCTGTCACCCTCGCGGCAAGCATGTCCTCTTCCCAACTCCCCAACCCCACGAGAGCCCAGCATCGACCATGGGCAACGCTCCTCTTGAGAAGGCTCCTCTGCTCGAGCCTGAGCTGAATGAACGAGGCAAGGCAGACGACGAGATAGACGCGCCTCCTCCCCGCCCAGCAAGGCGTCCATGGAGACGTCTTCTCAGAATCTTTGCCGCCGTCGCCGTCTTGTCCCTTCTGTTTAGGCCACACTTGCCGCACTGGAGATGGCCTCACCCGTGTCATCGTCAGCCACGCCATTCACCATTTGGCCGGTTCCCTGAGAAGCACGACCCATTCCACTTCATTCCATGTACCAAGGACTCTGTCCTGCCAGCCCTGGATGACCCTCATCCCGAACGCACCTGGGCCAAGAGGTTTGACCCCAACCCAGCACACTGGAGCTGGGGAAATGCCACAGAGGGCCACGAAAATGATATTGAGGAGCCTCACAGGCCTCATTGGCATCACAACCCTCACCATCCCGGCAAGCCTGGCAAACGCGAACCCGGTGAGCCTGACGAACCGGGAAGACCTGGCAGACCTGGAAAGCCTAGACACCCCAGACCACCTCATCACGACCCGTATGCTGGTCGCGGCATCTACCTCTGTGGATACATCGACGTCCCCCTGGACTACACCAACAAGTCAGACTCGCGGATTTCTCGTCTCGCCGTGACCAAGTACCAGGTATCGGGGCTTTCTCATCGCGGACACAAGCGCCATGACGGCAAACCCCGCCACGGTGCCGGCACCAAGAGCGAACGCACCATTGTCATTGAACCAGGCGGTCCCGGAGGCAGCGGCACTTCCATGGCATGGCGATCTTCAGAGGACATCTCCAAGCGATTGAGCGGCGGCAAGTACGACGTCCTGGGATGGGACCCTCGCGGAGTCAACGCCTCTCTGCCAGCCATCTCCTGCTTTCCCTACGATGTCGACAGGGACCACTGGGCAGTCCGCATGTCCCAGTACCGCGAGACGTCGCCGTCGCCTCGAGCTCAGCTTGAATTCTTCGACGCCATGAGCGATTCCATCTTGCGCGCCTGTAAGCAGATTCACGGAGATATCCCGCGCTTCGTGTCAACAGCCTTTGTCGCGCGCGACCTGGAACAGATTCGCCTGGCCCTCGGCGAGGATGCGCTCACCGGGTACTTGGTGAGCTACGGGACCGGCATCGGACAGACGTACGCCAACATGTTCCCCAGCAGCGTGGGCCGCATGATCCTCGACGGGACGGAATACGTGCGCGACCACCGCGTCCTGGGCGGCTTTGGATGGACCGCCTTGGACAACGGGACCAACGCCTTCCACGACGGGCTCCTGGGAGAATGTGTCCATGCCGGCCCCGACCACTGCGCCCTGGCCAAGCCCGTCGATGGAAGCGCCGTCACGCTGGACCATCTCCAGAAGCGAATGGACAACCTGATCCGGTCGCTGATCCAACGCCCGCTCGCCTCGTACACGGCGTCCTCGGGACCCTCGCTGGTCACATACTCTAGCCTCGTCGGGCTGCTCTACGGGGCCATGTACAACGCCAGGGGGTGGCCGGCGCTGGCGCAGATGCTCCACGAGCTGGAGGCCGGCAACACGACGCTCGCGGCGGCCATGCTGGAGCGCAGCGTCTGGGGGTACGACCCCACGAAGCCGCCTCCGCCCGGCAGGCGGCCGCGGTCCGAAGAGCTCGGCACCCTGGTCATCTGCGCCGACCAGTACGACGCGCCGGAGCCCGAGGGCGGGCTGGCCTGGTACGAGTCCCTGTGGGCCAACATGACGGCCAGGTCGTGGATCGCGGGGAACTCCCGGTTCCAAAACATCTTCCCCTGCAGGCACTTCACCGACTACTGGCCCGAGCCGGCCGAGGTCTACCGCGGCGACCTGAACAGCAGCCTGAGCAACCCGGTCCTCCTCATCGCCGAGACGTACGATCCCGCCACGCCCCTGCGCAACGGGAGGCGTCTTTTGAGCGAAATGGGTAGGAACGCGAGGCTGATTGCGCACCATGGCTACGGGCACTCCTCCAGGGATACGTCTGCCTGCACCGACGAGATTGCCAAGGCGTACATTCTGGAGGGCACCCTGCCCGAGGACCAGGAGACGGCGTGCTACGCGGACGAGAAGCCGTACCTGTATGGCGTGAAGAAGGGCGGCGTTGTGGCGCAGAGGGATCCTCTGGAGATTTGGGACGAGCACATCAGGGAGTTGGCTATTCTCAATCCCCGGCTTCTGGGGTGATCTCGGGAAGTGCGCAGTGGTCGTGGCGACCAGAATGTAAGGGATGTGAATGTGGGTTTGCTGCTGACGATTCTGCTGAGACATCATTTCTGTGTTGTAGTCTTTTGCCGCTTTTTGTGGAAACGAAACGTAATTAGCGAAAAGGGGGCAGGCAATCGGTGACATGAAATGGTTCAAGGGAAAGGGATACAGTCACTGCCGTTGAGTCTGGATATCACTTGTACGATACGCATGTCCATGATATATCTGACCCGGGGGGGAAGAGGCACAAGTACCATGTATATCAGAATGTACACAAAATAGCCTTGTCCACGGCCTGCATGGCAGTCTGGGGTGGTGGTCCTTCTGTAGCCGCCAAATTATGTGCTTTCTCGCCTCTCTCGGAGGCGCGCTGGCTGCTGTTGGAGCCAGCAAAGGCGTTCCGGCTGAACCACCCCATCTTGGCGACAAACTCGATAAACATGTCACCCTTGACATGGCCCAGTGTTCTTACCGGGACCACAATCCCCAGTTATGGCCCCTTGTAATTACTATCAAAAGACTTGGGGGGGAGAGAAGACGCTCTGTGTGGCAAGAATGGCTTGGGCTATTCGGAGCCTGGGCACATTTACGAGTAATCCCGGCTGGTGATGTAGGAATAACGTATAAGCAGACACAGGAAGGACGTCAAAACCTGACATCTGACGCGACCTCGTGCAGAAATCTCTGCTCTGCAGTGAGTTTCGGCATATACTTATTGGGGGGGACTTGGATGTCGTCGTCGTGGAGGGCAGCATGACGGCGATACAGCACACGCAACGACGCCATGACGTGAGCAGGTGCATGAATTCCCCTCGGGAAAGAAAGCTCCTGGCCAACGAGAAGGGTCTATTTTCGAAGTGTCTTTACAATCGAGGGAAATGAGACGGGCTGGCACAGCCCCGTTGGCAAGGCGTTGCAGCGATTCCACTGGGCTGCGGTCTGATGAGGCTGACGACGTTGAAGTTTGTCTATATCAGGTAATGAATGGCGTACATGTAACCGCGGGGTTTTAAAGAAACTTCCCCTCAGCCTTTTGCCGCCCGCCGGCGTTTCATGTGCGCGTCTTCAGACATGGTGCTGGCTTTGGAGGGAGCTCCGTGGTGGTGATGGTGGTGGTGGTGGTTGAACTGGAGTAGGAGGCGAAATAGGCGAGATGGAGACGATTTGGTTATTCTATGGTACGCATGTCTTCTAGAATGCTTACAGATATAAGTCATGATGATGATGATGATATATTAAACATTAGAACTAGGGAGAGGGGAGTGACGGATATACAGGTGTTCCTGCCCCAAAGCGCTGGGCCGCCTAGATTCAACATGTGCATTTTGGCCCTGCTCTAGTATTGACCCAGCCCTTTGGTAATACAAAGAAAAGGCGCTGCTAGACGGACAATCTGGCCAGTCTATGAACAGCAACTTCAAAAAGAAGGCCCGCGAGTCATGGGACGGGAGCGGCAAGACCAGCAGGATGAGTTGCGTAGGTTATTGGCTAGAGATGAATGACTGCTTAATCAATCAAGGAAGGGCACACTATGCACTATGCACAATGGCATGCAGTTGCATCCGGAATCAAGACATCCATGTCTTGGCGCCGGGGTTCTTCAAGGGTGGGCTGGAGACTCGACACGTTTGACAGCGTCCGAGAGCGGGACGAGTTTGGGCATTTTTGCTACGGGTGTTCGTGTCGGCCGAAGTAGCGGCGGGACGAGTGGGGAGCCTGGAGTGAAACCATGACACTGTTATACAAGACGGAGCAGATGTGTCTGGTAGCGTGAGAGACTCGGGCGTGGTGTTGATGAGGGCCAGCATCGCAAGAGGGGAGGGGATACACGCAAGTCGGGAACCACGGCGCCAGCAAATGCAATACGCAATCGTGGTGTTAATCGTATTAGCATAGGACAGACATTTCACTTCCCTGCCAATCTGATCAGCAGCGCCCGGTGCATCTCGCACGTCGTGCCGCTCCATGTTCGGAGCCGCAGCCGAAAGCACGCCTGTGATGCGATTTGATCGATTTGATCGCCGGCCCACCGCATATCCTTGATCCTCTCTCTTGATCTCCGTGATTGCCTCCCACACGCGTCTGCAGCGAAAAGGGAGCGTCGTCTCCGGCAGAACATGTCAGACTGCTGGGCCATGATACGGCCGCACGGGCATTGACCGGGGCCCGTTTATCCGCCGTTGGCCCAAAGAGGAAATTTCGCCTCCCATTTTCAAACACCAAAAACCCTCACCAAACAAGCTTGGCGAAGCACGCCGTCTCTCGCATCTCCCACCGCGCGCACGACTGGTAAAACACGAACGCCTCGGATCCCCCCGTGCTCCTCTCTCCAGGCGGACAACCAGAAGCCTCCCGCTCTCGTCTCACGCCTCCTCAACCCCGGCGCGCCCGCCCTCAAGGCTGAATCTCATGCAGCCCTTTCCAGCCCTGTGAATTTAACCATGTTTCCAACGGTAAAAAGAGACGCAGAGACGGGGCCGCCGCCTCTGCACGGTTGCTCCCCAGACAGAATTCTCGTCAGCTTCAGCACCGGATTACACCCGGCACCACGAGCCTTGAAACGCAGCATGTCACGATGCGTCTTGACGGCCTCTGCTGGGGGCTTCACGACCGCCTCAAGTTGCCCGTCTCTACTGCAAGCAGGATGACCACCCTCAGTGCCCTTGAATGTTCTCGGGAGAAGCTGCTTCCTTGTGGGGAGTCTGGGGCCACGGAGCTTCTGCCGCCAAAACACCACGGCGCACGGGAGCTGGGCATCTCTTTTGGTCATGTTTGTTCGGGTTTTGGAAGTCTGCCGTCGTTTCGATTTCTCTCTTGGCTGTGTGATGCGCGAAACCAGGCCAATCCGCCGCGTCGATCCAAAGTCCAAACCGACCAAGACGGCCTCGACACTCGAGTATAAGAACATCGTGAGGACCTCGCTTGGGATTCAATCTTCTTCTCCTCATCACTCTCACAACCATCCAAACACTTATAAGCTTCTCTCTAATCCTCCTTGTTCTCTCTTCTCTTCAACCCTACTACTAATCTTTCGACATCTCCTGCCGGTCAGCTCTCTTTCCAAAAAAATTCACTTTTAATACTTTCCCCCGCAACAACCCAAGACAACAACCCCCCGACAACATGTCCTTCAAGGCCATCTTCGCCACCTCGGCCCTCCTCGCGGCCCAGCTCGTCTCGGGCCACGCAGCCATCACCAACGCCGTCGGCAACGCAGGCGGCGTCGGCAGGGCGCTGGGCATCGACTCGTCGACCCCCCGTGACGGCACGCGCCGCAACCCCTTCCAGCAGGACGCCACGCGGTTCCGCGGCGCGTCGGCCAAGACGGTGGGCGAGACGGTGGGCGCCGGCAGCAACGACGTCGAGTCGGGCACGCAGGCCATCATGTCCGAGATGGGCGGCCAGCTCCCGCAGGTCACGCCCGGCGGCAACCTCCAGATGACGCTGCACCAGGTCAACGGCGACGGCGCCGGGCCCTACACCTGCATGATCAACTCGGACGGCACCGCCCAGAACTGGAAGAACATCCAGGTCACCGAGAACGTCGAGGGCAACCAGCGCGGCCGCAACAACGACGGCAACGCCTCCGACCACCCGCTCACCGCTGCCATTCCCGCCGGCCAGCAGTGCACGGGTCAGGTCGCTGGCCAGGAGAATGTCTGCCTGGTCCGGTGCCAGAACCCGGCTCGTGCTGGTCCCTTTGGCGGCGTCGTGCCCGTCCAGATGGTCCAGGAGGCTGGCGCCAACAACGGCACTGCTCCCAATGCTGCTGCTCCCAATGCTGCTGCTCCTAACGCTGCTGCTGGCACGAACGCCGGCACCAACACCGGCAACACTGGCAACACTGGCAACACTGGCAGCGCCGTTGGTAACGCTGCCGGCGCCGGCAATGCCGCCAAAAAGGGCGCCGCCAAGGGCAACAAGAACAACAACAACAACAACAACAACGCCGCCGCCGCCGACGACGACGACGAGGAGGAGAATGACAAGCGCAGCATCGACGCCGGCGCCTTTGTCAAGCGCATCGACGAAAAGACGCGCGCCGTCGAGTTCACCGCATAAGAAGCTCGAGCGACAACAACAACAACAACAACATGTACAAACCGACAGGGCACGTAATATAATGAAACTGCAGTGCAGTATCCAAAAACCAGGAAACAAGGGGAACTGCGATCTGGTATCCATTTCTAGTTTGGGTGTTGCTTGGAACGTATTTAGCTGTTTGTAGTGATTTCCATCTTGTCTAATTGATTTCGTTTTTATTACTCTAGCGTGCTCCATCGCGGTGGTAGATTGTGGTTTGTGATTTGTGATTTGTGATGATATGTAGCGATAGAGCCATTACACTACTAGGAGCCATCTACACTGTTTGCAGTGTAGGTGGCAAAATCTTTTATCCTCTTGTTATTAATATGCACCTTGTGATGATGTCCAGCTTGGGAGTGGACGCCGTTGAAAGTGGATCATGCCGTCTGCCAAGGCAAACGACGGATTTACATGTCCAACGCGGGGAATAATGATCCACCAGAAATCAGGCCAACTGCCGGTTCTCCTCGGCGGAAGCCGGCCGTCCTGGACCGGGGGCCGTGGCGCAGGCTGCGACATGGGTGAGACGACGGCATGTGGAGAGGCCCTCAGGTTCGTGTCACTGCGGGACAGCGAGTTCGTCTCTGTGGGCATGATGACGGCGAAAGTTTCAATAACGGCTCAATTCATTATAGACTAGCGCCTTGAGGTCGCCGCCTTTCTATTGGACGCATGATCCGTATTGCTGGTGTGCAACTAGAATTCTAGAAATTTAGTAGTATTTTTATTACAGAGGGAGAAGAAATACTTCTCCACTCTACTTATTCAATTTTAACTTTAGGTTAATGTATTCTTAATTAAGAAATCTATCAAGGTTAGTATCAATTATCGCGTCTCTAACCATAGTACGCTGCTGCGCCTCGGCCGTTTCAGGCTTGCTTCCCCCTTTACAATTCGAAACCCCATCTCATCTACGGATATAAAACAGTTCTAGGCCACAATCAACATTATGTGGCGCGGGCAATCGTTTTGCAAATCCCTTTCAGAAACGACTTGGCTTCGGGGGCTGGCGAGCCCGGTTGACAGCGGCAGGGGTTGCGTCGCAGGGCAGCATGCCAATATTATCTCACCGTATCTTACTGTATACACATACATGTACCTAGGTAGGTAGACAGTGGGTTCTCCAACTTTTGTTGTGTGATGGTTGTCTGTCGCCTGTCCGTGAGACAGGTTGGAACAGAGGGATTTCATCTAGATTGCCACCCGGACCAAGCGTATAGCTGCGTGAAGCATCATGACCATGCATGCAATCTCCCAAAAAAAAAAAAAAAAAGGAATTATTTCATCACAAAGGGCACGAGTGCGTGTCACAATGCCCAACTACACTTCACACCGAGACTACAGACGCCCTCCAGCGAAAGACTGCCAGGGTTTCAACGGTCCAACTACGTAGCTATGAATCCAAGACAAAGGCTTCCCGAGAGCCATCATGAAGGTTTCTTTTTTGAAGATTCAAACAACTTGATATACCCGCTAGGAAATCAGGCCCCCGAATATCCGTCCAGTCCCAAGATTCACGACACAATCAACTACTACACCCATTGCACCCAAAGACCTTTAAGCAGCCGGTCCCAAGGACCGTCACTAAATGGCCAGCATATGTTCCTCCTGCCCCAACATTGAATCCATATGCACTCCAACGCGGCGGACAAGTAAAAGCCGCACGCAAAACGTCGAGCCCTTTGCCCCCTAAACGCCATCCCCCCGTCGCCGCGCAGCAGGCCGACCACACGCAGCGCTCACCACGACCTGGCGCAGTACTCGGTACACACACAATTCGGTTCCGTACATCTGCTGTACCTTAACTTTTCACCCTCGGGTACGGGACACGTTATGACGGCAAGCGGGCTGCACACGCAGCCGACTTCGCACACCTTCAACACGGGCACGCCACGCCTTCAGAACCGACGATTAGCACATATTCGCCCGTCGTCGTATCGAGTCGGGTACACCTACGCTTCTGGGCAGCACACCTGAAGCCCTGTCTGGCCTTCGTCGATACTCGCCCGAGCCCCGCGCCCGAGTCGGGCACCCCCCGTGCTGACAATGGCCAAGATGGCAAGGAGCTGCTTGAGGTGCGACATGACGTGAGTTCGCTTCGCGTAGGAGTTGTCCAAATATAGAGAGTATAGTGGGTGGCAAGGAGACGCAATCTGTGGTCGAGCTCGGATGCGAAAATTCTTGCCCGATTCAAAGCCAGGGCTTACGAGGGAAAACAAGATGCGAGGCTGGGTCGGCCTTTTTATTCATCCTTTGCAAGACTAGACGGGGGCTAATGGGCCGTGGCTCACTACACTAAATGACTAGGACACTCGGCTGTCTTTGCTATGGTCGCCTCGGGGCGAAAAGTATGAAGTCACTGGTGAGAAAAAAAAGTCTGGTACCTTCTGGTTCGAGTCTTGTCACTGTAAGCCGCGGAACAATAGCCCTAATGCCTTGCGGTTTGCCATTACACATTAATCTGTCCTGCCAAACGACAGGGGTGTACTTGGAATTGTATTCCTGCATTCAACAGGTCTGTTTTACCGACATGTCATGTAAAATAGAATGGAGGTCCGCGCGATAAAGACACGTTGTGTGCTGGGTTGGTCCGCAACTCTTGGTCAAGCAACGCCGCCAACGTGGTGGTGCTCCTACATCATGCTTGCCTCATTATCTCGATTCTCTCTTCTATTCGCTAGATGCTACCATTGATATACATATCTAGAACATTGTCGTGTCAATGAAGCTCTGCTCTTAGCCCTCGTCATAGCAGTTCGCATAACAATCGCTGCACTCATCTGCAAAAGGCACTCACAAGCAGCGGAACCAAGATGCTCAAAAGCAGTCTGGTATAAAATGAAACTCAAAATGCAAGTACCTGTAGCGTGGTAAATGTGGCGCCAGACCCAAAATCCAAGGTGTAGTCCAAGTGAGATGGTTGAACCTTTATAAAGTACACGACACCCACAGGTTTAATTTTTTTAGCGCAGCCAACCGCTTCAGTAAGTAGAATTATATTCCCAAGGGGTCGACGGTATCGCGCAAGTATCCGCCGTGCATTCAGAAGAGAGATCAACGTACAGAGTAATTCATGCTCATGAATAATATACAGTCGTCGAGTCGTAGAGTCATAAGTCATGGGCCAAAATCACTACCCTGCGCAAAGTAAACATAGAATATAGCGCATCGACATTGTTAGATTGCGTAAAAGGACGGGGAAATGCAATACAAAGAAAGGGGCCGCAAAATAAGGCTCACGCCACACTGCAACCATCAGGATACCAAGACGGGTTGCGGCTCACGCCAAGTGCGCGCCACTGCAAGGGCCAAAATCGATGACGACACTTACAAGATGGGCAAATTAAACACAATCATGAGTGTGGTATAAATGACCAGTGGGAAAATCGTCAAATGAGCGGAAGCGTGCGCGTCAATATCCGAGCGTGACCTGCATTCAAGCCCAGTCGCGTCACCACACTGGGAGACCACCTGACCAATGTGGCGTCGTGATGCTCGCCGCGGCCATTCGCCGAGGTCATGTTGTACAACCAAGTATAATTTCAAAGGAAATTGTACTCACCTCCAGTCTAAAAACAAGTCTTCAGCCTCGTATTTTGTTTCTGCTGATAGTAAATCTGAGACTCCTTTTGCGAAGACAACAGCGGGTAGGTGCGAAAAAAAAAAGGTCATGCAGTATGACGTCACAAAGAAGAGCAAGAAACGGCGTCAAGCGGAACACACGTGTGTGTAGTATAGTTCGAGGAAACACGGGTCGTTAGTGTCATAAGATACAGGATATGTACAGCAAGTTTCACATATATACATCAGGTTGGCCTCCTGGTGCTAGTCCATCCTTCTCCTCGTCTTCGGGTGTCTTCTAGAGAAGTCCTGTACAGGTTTCTGGATCTTACTCAACGACTCCTCTGGACTCCTCCGCACTTCGCGTACTGGAGATCCAGCTCCTCGATTTGCCAAGCAACACTTAGGTGATGGGGAACGCTGATATGACGGCACTTTTCTTGAATGTGAAAGAACGGACCGAAACTCCATGTAAGATGCAGCAGCCGCTTCTGGTCGGGGGGTAGGGGTATCAGAATCTAGGGTATCGTGCGCGGATGGTGGGTGAGTCAAGGAAAAGGTGAGATCAAGGCTGTTGAATGCGTCGTCGGGGTATTGCGCAGTGGGAATATCCTCATCTTCATCGGCAAAATCAACAACACCACCAGGGGTGTGCGACTGGCCTTCGATTACATCAATAGGCTCAAACGAGTCACAAACAAATGTGACAGCCGTCTCACACTCATCTGATCGAGACTTCTCGTTGAGATCCTCTTCGAGGCATCGTCGTCGAATGAGTTCGGATACAAGGTGTCCGGACTCGGACCCAGAAAACGACATGGATCGCGAGGGTGGGTTCGTCAAGTAGTCGTTCGATTCTGCGTCTGATGGCGGTGATGATACCGATGGTTCGGATTGCGCATCCTCTGAATGTGGGGGTGACAAGGGTCCCTGAGGATGAGAGCTGTGGTGAGGTTTCTCTTTGATCGCGTCAGGTTCGGCGGTCATGACGGGACCGTTTGGAAACAAATCATCGTCGGTCATAAAGGGGGAGGGAGCATCATTGACACTGCTGGCAACGGTGCTAATAGTGTCGGTTTCCGAAAAGGAAGCCGACGAAGTAGAGTGTGTATCGTGACGATCGAGATAGTCTTCGGGTAGATAGCTAGCAAAGTAGCGAAGAATAGAGTCGTACGACTTGGTTCGAAACAGTTGCAAAGCGTACTGCCACTGGTCGGTGCCCATAAGCGTCGGGTTGGCAATGATTTCGACGGCCAGCGTCTCCAGAGACTCGTTCAGCTCACGGAGTCGCATTTGCCGCCTATCAGCCATCATCCGGTGAAACTCGGCGGTAGTCTCAGCGTCTCGAGAAATCTCGTAGACATCGTGGTGGAAAGCCTCGGGGTCTTGGAGAGTAAAGGAGAAGGTGTTGTACT